CTCCACAGACAGTCTTCGTGGCAGCTGACCTGATTCCCTTCCTTTTTTCGTCACCCTAGTCGACACCACAATGCGAATAAGCGTAATTAGCGAAAACTTAAATTCTCAAAAACACCGTACTTTGATTGTTGTTGTTATTTTTAAAGCTTATATTGTTATTGCTAGTATAAAAACTCCTGCCGTCCTTTACAGATGGTATTAAGTTCGAGTAACTATTTTGTTGGCCGTAGTTGCGTTTACATGCAGGTTGACGTTGCGTATGAGTGACTATCGTCTATTTTTATACGTATGTATATGCAGGCCTGCAATTAGGCTGATACTGTGCAACTCACTAACTAACCCTAACACCATGAAAACAAAGCATCGAAGCAGCAACGCCTATTCAGACCGCAAGATGAAATCTAACCTTTTTACAAATTTTCTCAAAGTCCCTGGGAGCTTATACGTACTTATAACAGTGTGGGACAAAACCAAAGGCAGCTATTACATAAGCCGACAAGCATTAGTTTCAACCATCACATGAAGTGCACTTAACAAGAAGAGCAATAACAAGAAATGAAATTGTGAGGGTGAGTTCCAACATAAACAAGTGCTTATGAAATATACGACTGGACAAGCAGAAAAAAGTCAGCGCTTTCGATATGATATATCGTTAACACCAGCAGCAAATAATAAAAAGCAAGCCGGCAAGTCATGACGGGATTTAAGCAAAATTCAGCCAAATATGAAATATATATTTTTGCTGACATTCATACTGACGAGTGGCTTACGAGCTTTGAGGTGTGAAGTCAATGAACGACGGCGCAGAAAAAAATATTAAAATATGAAAATTTCTGTAATTAAAATAAATCGCTGCAATAGAGTGATTTCAAACCTTAGTTACTTTCTATACATGTATGTATGTATGCGAATATATGTTATATTTTGACTGGCTTTTGCTTCTAGTTGTAAACCATAATTGAATAAATTTTATGAAATTTGCTTCCTGCCGGAAAGCGCTATTTTCAGTCTTAGTGCGTCCTTTCTTGATTTATACAGAATCTTATACGAGTATAACTGAAATGCCCATTGATATTATATACAAACAAACATACAGACACATGAGTTTTGTTATCTGAAAACTGAAATTATTTTTTCATTTGTTGAGAATTTTATTAAAGTTGGGGATTTTACACCATGAAAAAAGTAGACTGAGTTTGCCATGAAGTTTGCAAACAGAAAGAAACGTCGGAGAATCTATTGAATTAATATGTTATATGATCAGAGTTACCAGCTGAGCCAAATTACTCATGTCCGTCTGTTTGTATGCACACAAAAAAGTTTCTCAGCATTTGGGGAAGCAAACCCAAATTTAGTACACTTCCTTTTCTATCCAAGAAGCTGCTCAATTACGGTATCACCGCCGATATCAGATCAGACCAATGTTGGATATATCTGTTATACAAATTAAACGATCAATATCAAGTTCTTTAATGGAAAACCTTTTTTATTTACAAAATATCTTCACGAAATTAGGAATTTTTTTCTTCTGTTTTTGTGGCTCTTTTCAAATCGATTTTGATAACGATATCTAACAAAAACAACAATCCTATAAGTAATGTCAACAAATTTCAGTGAGTACGATAATCGGTGTCAACTAGTCGAGCAATGTATTGTCATACAACTATCAGAAGCAAAACCAAAAAAAATATAATTGCATATATACTCGTAAATACTACATTAGGGTGTCCGTGCTTTCCCAAGTTTACCTATATTTTTTACATGCACACCCTGAAGTTTCAGTTTTTGCCTAAATCATTTTACTTTCCATATGTGGAATTTTTTACCTTTTGCAATAAATGCTTTACCTTCAAAAGAAATAAACCTGCAATTTAGAAAAAATGATATTCGAATACAAAGTTTTCAGCTCTACAAAGGATATCCTATGTTTGTTAATTTTTAATAAAAAATTTCTATAAAAGTTATGTGCAATTAAATTATGAATTAAATGTACTGAGCATTCATACAAGTACCTTATAATCATAGGAAATGGAATGCTTAGTTTCTATATTACTAAGCCTCAGTGCATTTGATGCATAACTTTAACTACGTTTAACTTTTAAGGAAATATTTTAATGTCTGTGGCAATTGCCAGTGCCATTGCTTCATCGTAAACACTATTCTGAATTGCTCTTCTTCTTCTCTATTATTATTCTCGTTATTGCTGTAGTTTGGTAATTTGTTGCATTTCCGCGTCTACACAGTCGGGAATTATGTAAACGAATTGCTCAGGGAAATGATCACGTAATATTGCTTCATAAGAGCTAATCGCCATGCGTGAGTTTGAATCATGGGCAAACGTGCCTGACTGTGTACATGTATATGTGAAACGGCACATAATTACAAATTTTAAAATATTAAACATAATTACGTATATGTGCAAGAAAATTTGTGATAATATTTGTAATGAGTTTTAATATTTGGCAGTAAACCTTAAATTAATAAATTAATTACCCGTTAACTGATCAATAATAGCATGGTAGCTAGAGCTCTTACAACATTTTACAACAAAATGTACCTCATATACATTTTACCAACAATTCAATAGGATTAAATGTTTTTGCTTAAGTTTAAGTTAGATAAAAGACATTAATAGTCAAATCTCTTTTTTGAGTGATGATGATTAAAGATTAAATCCGTAATATTTCAAATCCATTAGTTAACGCATTGCTACAATTCTGAAGTAGGAAAGTAAAAGTACTATGCTTGTAAGCATTAAAGTATAAAAATTATTAATATCAGTCAAACTCCAGCTCATTCCTAGGTAAATACATGTATTTCATATATATAGTCCTACAAGTATTATATGTACCGGAAAGAGCAACGTGCAAAAATTCACAAATATAATATATATATATTATATTATTTTAGTTGAAATCCAGGTGACTGTCTGTTTTGTCCGTCTCTCCGTACAAGCGACAAACGTATTGTACAAGTAGTTCTTGGCATAATTTGGAGTTTCGTATTGTAGAAAATGACTGGTTTCGCCATGCGCGCAAATGTTAATGAAGATATAAACCCATTTAATAGGTCAGAGAGAACAAAGGCATTAAATTTAACAACCAACATGGTTCATAGTAGCCGTTATGAAACGGACGATGGTGAAATCCGATATCTCAGAAACTACGCAATCAATTTGGTGAAAATCATCATAACGAAATACAACCACGACTACTTTCCTTATAACAAAATTTTAAATTATAACACGTCAAAAAATGGTCGAAATCACAGAATAAGTTATCAAGTCCCCATATAAATTGATCGGGATCAAAACTACCAAATGAAAGAATTTCAGACTTCGTGTTAGCTTTTTAGCGTATATATCAGTCAATGTGTAAGATATTTTAGTAAAATTAAGCAATAGTTTAATAATCGATATACTGTAGTATAAGGTCAAAAACTTATAAAATCGGTTGACCTATTAAGTGCAAAATTTTATTGTTTAATTCTTACGTAACATGTTTCAATACAAATCTTGTCAAATTCTAAATATATATCACAAATTGCAAGAGTATAAAATGTTGGGTTATATCTAAATTTAGCTGTGCTTACTTGTTGGTTGTTGTTGTAATTTTTTGAGCCTTAGAACTCACCATAAAAGTTGACTAACAATTCAATTGGCGGTAGATGCACATACATATGGGGTGACGGTGCTATCATACGCAGTGGACTTAAGTAGATAAATTGTATGAATATAGAAAAAATCAGCGTTTGTTTGTACGTATGAGGGTCTTTGTGTTTGCACAATAAAGGAAACCATGTAATGACTTTGTAATTTAGAATTGTAGTAAAAAGAACAAAAACAAGAATGGAGGCGTAAACGCAGTTATTTGTACCGAAAGCGCACGCGTGGTTGTCATTATAGGTATAGGAGACTTTCTAATGCCAACACTGTGATTAAAATTATTTTAATTTGAGTGACGAGTATGTTCTGCCAAATAGAAAAAAGCAATTTAAAAAGAGAAGAATTTCTTTAAACTTTAACACATGTGGTATAAATGTTTAGTAAATTTGTCACTTGGTGTGTTTTCGACTTATATTTTATAATAAATACGATGCAGTATATACTTGTATCTTAGTAGAAATAAGTATGGATATGTACATTTATGTAAATATACATTGTAGTTATTTAATTTTATTTATCCCTTTCTTATGCAATTTTTATTACGACTTCATTATCTCCGTAGGACCAAACAGTGCCTTCTATAATGCCATGCATACTGGTACCCGATTAGTATCGCAAGGTATCGTGCATAAAGTTGCCAAATTACAATTCAAAAAAAAGCTGAAACAGATATTTTATTCAAAAATACGGCTACAGTCTATGTGTAAGCGGCTTTGATGAACTCGACACAGATATCCAAATATAGGGTGAGTATAAGTATTATTTTAGAAATTTAAATAATGTAAGCAAAACAATGTCAATTTTTCCTACACTTGATAATTAGCTGTTTTCTGAGTATAGCAGTTTTTAAAAAATATAACAACTTTATTCTCACCCATTTCTTCTCAGTGTATTCATCTCTTTAACACATTTATAATTTTTCTCTCGCCTTCTAATTGAAAGTAATTGGTTTTAGAGCAAACGAAGAACATCGTTTAGTTTTTCGGTCTTTTAATTTATCACAGTGAATTTTTATACTATAGGAATATGCGGCACAGAATATAATAGTTTCGTTCACTTAACAGTTGTATATAAAGAAACACATAAAACTGTGATTTGATGACAAGTGAATACTCGATCCGTGCAAACGATAACATCAGTATAAATTCAAATATCTTGAGACTCTATTATTGTCGATATCATAGACGGACGGAACTTTAACACTATCATATGTATAAAACGGTATTAAAATGTAAAGTACTATATTTCAGTATTCAGCTAAACTACAAAATGCAAATATGTCATATTACTAGATCTAACTTCTTTCTATTTCTTTTATCTGTTTACCATTTTTTAGCGAATTGGAAGAGGAAAATAACTCTTACTACCCAACTTCATATGAGTTTAACAAACAAATTGGGAGTGACTGTTACTGGGGTGAAGCGAACCAAATAAAAGGTGCATCTGAAATAAAACGAGGAACACGCGGCCTCATACATTCTAAGTTTACTGCAGCGTTAATATGTGGCCGATATGGAAAAGCTAACCAGAGAATATTACTATATAAATTAATATTTTATACTTAAATACAATATACGAAAATAAAATTTTTCACGAAATTTAATTATAAATAGGATATTCCTTCGAATATTGCAGTTTGTTTTCACTTACATAAAGAAGTATGTATTTTAAAAGAATTTTTGGAAGTGACATGTAAGTAAAAGATTTTATTTTGTTTCAAGAACCTCTGCCGATGTACAACCGTTTCTTATATACAACAACTATGTCTAGAGTAAATATTTCAACCCTTTCTCACTAAACCTACCATCTCCTCGGCGCAATATTCAATAACTCTATTGTACCAGCTGCTTGGTATTGAAAAATTGCCACTATATACAAAGCAAACTACTCGGGTTACTTTTAATAAGTAGAGATTATAAACTACATCAATATTATTAAATAGTAAAGCAAAGAGAAGCATCCAACGCTACTGGCAAGTATACAAGTATAAGACACTTGGCTGAATAATCATGTCGGGTTGGTTTAGTTGGCGCTGGATCGGAAAGGTTTTAAGGTAGTTCTTTATGTTTTCTCAATATCCTTTAAAACAAGAGACCAGAGTGATTACTATTAAGAGAAAAGCGAATTTCTGTCACAAGAGTAACCACTGCAGAAACTTGTTTGAAATATAACCGACTTCAAGGATTACTAAAAATTAATTCCCAAATTATACAGACAATTTACGACTTCATCAATTCTTTCTCCCAATAGATATCCTAAGAGTCTAAACGGCAGAGATTATAGACATGAAGTCGAATTATCTCACGATTTGAGAGCAACTTTCACACAATTGTATTCTTGAAGGTTTGTGTAAAACTTCACCACGATATATTAAACGAGTTTTGCGCAGAAATTTCATCAATTTTCTTTTCCCTTACACGTTTAACAGCCTTTTATTAGGGGTCCGTCCTGTTCAAGCTTCTTTCCTGGTCCTTCTGCTGATCTCGATTACATCGTCTGGTTTTCTATTATTGCAACAATATAATTTTAATTGTAATTATAATGAAAATACGATTAACCGATGTCAACTATGATATTTGAAAATATTTTTCATTTTTAACTAATTATAAGTTCAATCAGTTGCATATATTAATAAATGTTTGTACAAAATTAAACTTTTCACCACGTTGAGATTACTATAGAATTACATGATTTTCGAAAAACGATTTGAAATGCATGTAACACCATCGTTAAAACCAACTAAATACTCATGTTTTGTAGATATTTAGGAATTTATAAGTATATATTTGTACTCCCATATAAGTAGTTGGTAACAGTGTGGATGTAAATGTGTATAGTCTTTGGGTGGAAGTTGGTGTCTCTTCAACAAAATTAGATGTTGGAATCACATTCCGACTAGTAGACCACTACCGCATCTTACAAGTGGAGATCACAGCAATTATATATATATACATAAATAGTCAAGCGACTTTGAAACCACTAAAGTCTTTTAGGATTTCTTAGTGAATCTAACATCCTATTTGACGATAAACCGGCAATGAGTTCCCGGACACAGTGATATTCCTGACACTTGTGAAACAGATCAACTAGCAAGAGCAAGCACTACCCTACAATCAGACACCGAAGAGAATTTATATGCCTCTGGCTGCTTGTAGATATTTAATGGAGTAACAAAATAATAGATATAGCATACATAGATAACCAAATATGGACCGTATATGCCGACTATTAAAATTCAAAAGGAATAATATAAGAGCTGTATTAGTAGAAGCGCTAACATTTTACTGTCATATTGGCAGACCCGCTACCAAACTGGGGATACCATACAACAACTAATGTAAAAGCTGCTAATAAGAAGAAGAGACTGTATGGTAGAAAATTTTCTATGTGAATGCAAGGCTTTGTAAAGGAAAAAATCTGCAATTAAAACTTTTTGTACTGATGATTTTGTACTGGATTATAGTCCCGATGGTAATAAAGCTCTAGCTGTATATTCAGACATCCACCCTACCTACATAACTACCTACTTACGGCGTATGCATTTCGGGAGAAATCAAGTTCTAGATTTTCACCACGGAGTTATTTCAGTAATATTACCAGCCGACGCGGCTAGTAATCAATGTTAACGTTTTCTCAAAAGCCATCTAAATTGATATACAAACTCTAGATTCGACTATATATTCACATCAAGACATCAGAGGTATAATACTGTATATATTAGCATGTGAGAAAGTTAATTTTTCCGGCGGTATTCACGATTGTCCAATATTTTCGTTTACAAAACAAAATAAGAAAAAAGTAGTGAATTAAAATCTAGCAAGTAGGATGTCAAAGGTGATGCCCCGCAATGTCAGGCTAATCCAAATGCAGCTATTAAAGGGTCGATTCGGAAGGACCACCAACTTCTTCAAACCGCCTCTAATCTCTATACAGTTTGTAATATTCTCCAAAATTAGCCAAATAAGATACTTTTTTTTTTACCTAATCACTTTTATTTCGTGAAAGTCGTATACACTGCAAAATTTCTATTAAAATATAGTTTTTGTTATTGTAGAGAACACTTATCGTGTGCAAATAACTTACGCATGCGTGCTCATGCATTTGTCAATATATAAGCATATATAATATATTTAATAGAATAAACCGAGACTTAGTAACACACGATATATATAAAATATGTCAGGATGTGTTTACGAGTATATGCAATTTACGCCTTGACGTTTAAAACTTTGACATTTTGAGTCAACAACTTTGTGATGTTATGACATACGCATTTTATGCATAAGCCAGGGTCATCAATGCTGCCACATACAACGTATATGGTTATAATATTGAACTTATTTACAGATATTCATACATATATGGTATGTGTTAGCTTCTTCACTGATATAAGGGTATATATTCTACATACATATAAACACATGTGTTACATATTAACTCTTAATTGTGTGTTCTTACACTCACTCTTCTGTACAAAAATACATTGTTCATCCTACAGCTGTCTCCACTTCAATGTCATTTGCCACGCTTAGCTCTGTGATAAAAAATTGTATTCGTAATGTGATATCTATTCAAATTTAAGTTAAAAGCTTATAAAATACAGACATTCTGGTAAACAGACATTTATGTCATAAAGCATTTATTGGCTATCGAGTTGAAATAAATACTTTTCTTTACTTAGAAATTAAAGTGTTTATTTGCTTCAGCAAAATATTTTTAAAAACTGCAGTGGCCTCGTGGATGTATATATTTCCTTTTACTTATTTGGAAAGAAGAGTTTAATGACATTTTTCATCCATTTTCCAGTGACATAATTAAAATAAAATAAATTTAATCGATAGATGAAATTTCAAAGATTAAGAGTACAAATTAGAATGCAAGATTGATATAATGATGAATTACTGCTAGGAGTATTTTATTTCTTGTCAACAGCCTTTATACCACCATTTCGAATTTGATGATAACACGAAACGTTCTAGTCGAAAGCGACGATATCGGACCACTATAACATACAGAATCAAGTCTTTGTATGGACAACTTTTTTATTTGACGAGATATCTACACAAAATTTGGCGCGAATTGTGGCAAGGCAACACTACAATCTTCGAACAAATTGTTCGGATCGGCTTACTATAGCTGTCATACAAACTAACCGATCAAAATTAAGTTCTTGAATGGAACATTTTTTATATGCAAACGGTATTATAGCTTTAACTTTTTCTTTTGTTTTTGACTAAATTTTGAGTTTGGTACGGAGTCATGGCTAAAAGTAAAGTGAACTCTTTCAAAGGAAATATATTTTTATAAGTGCATATTTGCTTGCTGTGTAGAGTAATAGGTATTTATCTAATCGTCTCTAACTCGTCCGGCCAAACCAGCTAACTGAAACGCACGCCATTAAGGCATCGAACTGCTATTCACATAGAAATTCAATACAATTCGTTAAATTTGAGTGGAAATTCAAAGAATTACATTTTGAATTACAAATCGAAATCGTTAGATCTTGTCATCTGAGTGGACATAAAATCTCCAGTTGTTTTTATATATAACCATTTGGTAGTAGTACAAAGAAAGGTTACATATTATAAAAAGTAACATAGCAAGAGAATCATATGTTGCATGTGTACGCAAAGTCAAACTCATGTATATATTTTCCTCGCTATATCTTCCCTTTTGTTTCTACATTATTTTATATTTTCCTCGCTATATCTTCCCTTTTGTTTCTACATTATTTTCTTCTTCATGTATGGATTAAATTCTGTATGCTATGGTATATAAGTATAAATACGCGTAAAAATTGAATTAACATATGCAGTCGGTCCCTTGATATTTTGTCTTTCATTTGAGGATAAGTTTTATTTTTGCTTCATTCAAGTCAATATATACCGCTTACGATGCATAACAAACTGAAGGATACCAAACAGAAACCGTAAACATGGAAATTGGATAATGTGAGTACCTTTTTTGTCCTGTTTATACTCTCATTATTTTTAATTTGTATTACTTTTATGATTTGTGTAGCGCAATTACTGAAATGGATGTGTGCAAAATGTACAACTACAAGGAAACTTTGGGGTTTACTATTAAAAATGTAAGCCTTGATGCTGGAGACTGAACTACTTTATGGAAATGATTTTGTGTACCATATCAAAATAGATAATTTCTAAGTTTAATGTGGATAAATGTTTTTATTAATTTTTTGCATTTCGAATATAAGCTTTAAATAATTAAATACTACTTTAAAATCTCCTCACTTTAATTTCTTAAGATATATGGTAAACTCAATCACGCAAACGTTTTAAACACAACCTTAAATTTAATATATTTTCAATTGGTTTAACAAAAAATCATAATGAAAGAATTGTTTAAAAACTTTAACTGAGGAAAGGTGTCTGTTGCAAACAGACTTAAACAATATATAATAGAAATTATTTGCCATTGAATCTGAATAAATGAAAAAACGATGTGCTTTTCCCGTAGATCTGTGCACCACTCTTCTTATGTAATAAATCACCATATTCTGGA